AAAACAAAAACCGAAACAAGAAAAACAAATATTTTAAATCTTATTTAGAAGGATTTCTTCTATATTGTTCTCTTACTTTGTCCTCTAGGGATACCAGAAGTATATTTTATCAGATAGTTTTAACCAGAGATCATTTTAGAAATACAATAGTTATCTGTCCTCCATATTTGTTAATGACTGATTATTTCTTTTCATTTCGTTTTAGACAAGCCATCTATGATGCCTTTGAACGTTTCCTTCATAAATATGCTAACTAATCGGATCAATGGATCCTACTAAAAGCGTTCACCCTACAATGATGTGAAAAACAAGCAGACAGCACTACTTACCTGATTGCTGCCATATAGTCTCTGTGCCAGTGTTATGGGTCAGTTACCAACTGTAGATTTCATTAATGTAAAAGCAGTACTTGAATCATATAATCCTAAAGTGTTTGTTACTCTTAAAAATCTCATGTATCCAATATGACATCTCTTGTTAATATTTATAAAAACATTTTAATTATGAATAATTTATTGATCCTGAATAAATAGAAACCCTATTGGTTTTTAATAGAATTGTTGAAACTAAGATTATATAACATATGTACTGTATACTGTTATATGGCATTTTTTGCTATTAACTTGATTTTAAAATCTGTGTTCCTCCTTTTTGTCTATGTAGTGGGTTTATAATCTAGCTTTCAACTTTAGGTAATTTACTGCCATAGAAAAACCTAAGATATGTAAATCAGTGTTACCTATGAATTATGAAAAATATCCTGACTGCTGAGCTGTGCCTCTGTGATAGTACAAACTGCAATCCGAGCACTTGAGAAGTGAAGGCAAGAGGCTCAAGAGTCCCATCATTGTTCTTTACAGAGCAAAGTTGAGGCCAGCCTGAGCTACACGAGACCCTGTCTCAAAAAAATATGTCTGGCATGGTAGCTCATGCCTTTAATCCCAGCAGGTAGGAGACAGAGGCCCAGCAGATCTCTATTGAGTTCAAGCAGTCTGGTCTATATGGCAAGTTGCAGGCCTGCCAAAACTACATGATAAGACTGTCTCAAAAATAATAATACGACAGTATAAAACAAAACCTTACTGCTTTGTAGTGTTTTACTAATTAACCTGAATGCTGAAATATGTAAATAAGATTAGTTAGACTAGAGAAGACTTTAAATTGTTATCAAACATTAGGTCCGAAAAGTGCCAGGGCTGGGCTGTATTTGCCCAGCCTGTGAAGACTCTGAAGCCAGTCCCCAGTGCTGCCAAACAGACAGAAACCTGTATGTGTCTGGGGTGGGGGGTCAGACATGCTCTCTGTATTTAAGAGAGTTTTATCTTGAAAATGGATGCGCTAGATGAACTTTTCACTAGATACTGGGTTCACTAGATACTGGATTCTTCCAGGCATTTCTTACACACCTGGTTCTTCTGTTGCTTAAACACTGCGTTAACAGCTTTGACTTTTTAATTTCAGAATTTAATAGCTACATATGAAATTGAACCATTGTAAAGAAAAACTTGAGGCTTTATACACTGCTAACTTTTAAAATGGGAGCTATATGGATAGATATATGGTGCTGATAATAAACTTCTCTGAGCAAGAATGTTTAAAAGGTAATATTAAAATGTGTTTGTTTAAAATATGTATTGCTCTTAAATTTAAGTTTAATGGAGATATGTGGATTTTTTTTTCTTTTTTTCAAGACAGGGTTTCTCTGTAGCTGTGAAGCCTATGGATAGGTGGATGTTAACATGCCTTTGGCAGCTTTTTAAAGATGTTGTGCCATTCTAATGTCTGTTTCTAAAGTTCCCAACAACTGTTTAAACATTTTTACTGTGAAGTCATTGATGGCAAAGTAGTTGCTTCTTGGACACTTGAACTTTCATATAACATTACAGTAAAGCTATTAGAGCGACAGCAATTTTGTATATTCAGACTACAACTTTTACTTTTGACTTCAAGAACAAAATGATCCTTTAAATAAAACCTGACCTGTGTACACCTTTAATCCCAGTACTCTGGAGGCTCTCAGTTGGAGGCCAGCCTGGTCTACTGAGTGAATTCCACCAGGGCTACACAGAGAAAACCTGTCTGTCTTTTAAAAAATAAATAAATAAAATAAGAGATTAAATGTATTACATCATTCTATCATGCATATAATGAGAGAATTTCTTTGGATTCTGAACATAGTTTCAGCAAAAAAAAAACATTTTTCTTCACATATGCATTTATTAAAAACATTCTGTGGTATGTAGTTTTTCTACTAGTAAAATAATGAAAATTTAATTAATTCTTAGACTATTTTAGAATTTTTATTTTTTAAGAACTGGGTGCAGAATCAGGCATGGTGGCATACACCCTTAATCCCAGCTCTGGGAGGCAGAATTCAAGGCAAGCCTGGTCAGCCAAGCAGTTCCAGGACAGTCAGAGATACACAGAGAAACCTTATCTCAAAAGAGGAAAAAAAGAAAAAAGGAAGAACTGTGTGTCACTGGCAGGACATGCCTGTAATTCCAGCACTTGGGAGACAGAGGATCAGTCACAAGTTCCAGGCCAGTATGATGTACATAGTGTGTTCCCAGACCACTCAGGACTATCTGTCTCAATAAATTCATTTTCATCCTTCATTCACAAAACTGCCTAAGCTGATTGATTCAGAGAGAAAAATACCTTTTTTTCACCTTTCTTTAAACCCACTCTGCAAAATAATAGCTTAGGTACAAACATGCATACACATACCAGTTATATATATTCTTTGAGAAATTAATGTATTTTCAAGGAAGTCCTGCCTGCCATTTTCCTGACACTTGGATCAGGTCTATAAGCAGTATAGATTCAGTCAGACCAGAGTTTCAGGGAACAGTTTTCACAGGCCAGTTTGACCCAGTTTCACTCGGTGTACATAATAGGTGTGTGTTCCCGATTCTGCTAGCAGACTTCTTATATGTAAGTAACTACTACTCTGTATTTTCCACTCAGCTCTAAAGACCCCTGATGTAGTTCTATAGTTAGACTTCATGATTTGCCAATGTTGTAATTAGATTTTATCAATGTATTTTTAATGTGGTGCTTTCTCTAATATATATTAACATTATAACTGAATTTTTAAGATATTTCCAAATTTATATTTCATAATAAAAATCTATTTTAGAAGTTATTTGCTTTGTTTTCTTTTTCAAGAAGTATCATTCCAACTACCAGAAGCATTTATCATTTGATTCGTGTGTCCAAACCTGAGCTAATTGTGTTTGCCTCTATCTATTATACTCATGTGGTAAGGCGGGAATAAGTAAAGGAAGCTCTAACACAGTATCAGTATCCTAGTGTCTCTTCAGAGCCAGGTTTTACTCCATTTGATCCCAGGAGAACAAGTACTCTGGCATACCATGTTTGTCTCGGCGTCGTTTAACTTGGATGTGATTATGTTGAAAATAGTAAACATTAAAAAAAAAAAAAGGGTCGGGCGGTGGTGGCACACGCCTTTAATCCCAGCACTCGGGAGGCAGAGGCAGGCGGATCTCTGTGAGTTCGAGGCCAACCTGGTCTACAAGAGCAAGTTCCAGGAGGGGCTCCAAAGCTACAGAGAAACCCTGTCTCAAAAAACCAAAAAAAAAAAAAAAAAAAAAGTAAACATATGCCAGGTGGCGCACACCTTTATCCCAGCATCAGGCGGCAGAGACAGGCAGTAAGGTGTCATTTAACTATAGAATCCCCTTGAGCTGGGAGGAATGAGGTCCTGGACAAAGGCTGCCATAGAATGGTTTGGAAGTCGGATGTGGTTGCTCATATCTGTAATCCCAGCACAAGGGCAGGAGGAAAGAAAGTGCAAAGCCAGCTGGGTTGACTTCATACCTGTAGTGTTGGTATGTACCTGTACCTGCAAGCATATGCACACATACACACACAAATAAGTTTAATAAAATTTTTGAGCCAGATGGTGGTAGTGTATGCCTTTAATTCTAGCATTTAGGAGGATGAAGCAGGTGGATTTCTGAGTTGGAGACCAGCCTGGTCTACAGAACAAGTTACATGACAGCCAGGACTACACAGAGAAACCCAGTCTCAAAAAGCAAAACAAAGGCGGTGGTGACACACACCTTTAATCCCAACACTTGGGAGGCAGAGGACAGATGCATCTATGTGAGTTCGAGACCAGCCTGGTCTATGAAGCAAGTTCCAGATAAGTTCCAGGACAGCCAGGGCTGTTACAGAGAAAAACCCTGTCTCAAAAAAACAAACAACAACAACAAAATAATGAATAAATAAATAATGATAATAATAAATATACATTATATAATATATTATTTTTAAATATACAATAAATATTTTATATGTATGTTATTATTATTATTATTTTGTCTCAGATTATTTTGAGACAAGGTTTCACTATGTAACCCTGTCTGGCCTGAAACTCACTATGTAGATCAGGCTGGCTTTGAACTCAGAGATCTGCCTGCCTCAGCTTCCTGAGCATTGGAATTAAAGGTATGTGTACCGTGCTGAACTGAGAGTAGAATTATTATGTTTTTCAAGACAGGGTTTCTCTGTTGCTTTGGAGCCTGTCCTGGAACTAGCTCTTGTAGACCAGGCTGGCCTAGAACTCAGAGATCCTCCTGTCTCTGCTCTCCGAGTGCTGGAATTAAAGGTGTGCTCCACCACCGCCCAGCTGGAATTATTTTTTGGAAGGAGATAATTCACATTTGTTTCAAACTTTTGCTCCATATCATCGAAACCTTTTGCAAATGTTCATGTGTCAAGGCTCTTTCACCAGGACATCTTGGCTCTGAGAGTATCTGCGTAGATTGACTTAATTTTACTGTATAGCCCTGGCTGGCCTGGAGCTAACTATGTATACCAGATTGGCTTTTACTCACAGAAATCTCCTACCTGGGGGGCTGGAGAGATGGCTCAGAGGTCAAGAGCACTGGCTGCTCTTCTAGATGGTCCTGAGTTCAATTCCCAGCAACTACATGGTGGCTCACAACCATCTGTAATGAGATCTGGTGCCCTCTCCTTCACTGTAGGCATACACACAGACAGAATACTGTATACATAACAAATAAATAAATCTTAAGAAAAAGAAAGGAAATCTCCTGCCTCTCCCTCCTGAGTGTCTGGAGCAAGTGCTTTTAGTTGGGCCTTTCAGCAGGTTTTTATAAAATTCCACCACATTACTCTCCTTATTCGCCATGTTGCAGTAACAAAGCAATGACAGTACCATGTCTGGTTTCTGTTGTGACTACACTAATTGAGTAGTGAAAAGCAGCCAAAGGACCTGCGGAAATGAGTCGACATGACTGGGTTCCAGCGATGTGCTGTGTTCAAACTTTAGGAACTGAAATTTGAATTTCATATGATTTTCATGTCTCACAAAATACTCTTTTTGCCTTTATAGTGCTTTCCTAGCATGCTCAAGACCTGGGTTCAATATCCCCACGGGGGGTGGAGACAGGGGAAGAGCCATTTTTAGTTTATCCCTGTAGGGTGCACAGGCTTGACCAGGGCCATAATGTAGATGCCCAAGCCAGGTAGCCCATGCAGCGCTGACTTGTTCTGTCACCTTTACAGTATGATGTGTCATCTCCTTGGGATGGAAGCAGCTGTCCATTAAGACAACTAGTCCCCTTCAAGGGCCATGCAATAAACAGGTGGACTGGAGTTGTAGATTGGTGGTAGAGTTCTAGCATTGGTTAGGCTCCGTCCACTGCAAAACAATAACGAATGAGTATCATAAAGATGAAAATATTTACATAAGAAAAGTAAAGCCGCTAGGTGGATGTGCCTTTAATCCCAGTGCTCCAGAGGCAGAGCCAGGCAAATCTCTGAGTTCAAGGCCAGCTTGGTCTACAGAGTGAGTTTCAGGACAGCCAGAGATACACAGAGAAACCCTGTCTCGAAAAACCAAAGAACAGGAGGAGGAGAAGAAGAAGGAGAAAGGGAGAAAAAGAGGCCTTTCCTTCATTTTCCTATCTATGGCTTTGTAACACTTTTCATCATTTTCATCATTTAGAAAATACTAGGTCACAGGGTTATGGCAGATCTTTCTTTTTCTTTTCTTTTCTTTTTTTTTTTTGGTTTTTCGAGACAGGGTTTCTCTGTGGTTTTGGAGCCTGTCCTGGAGCTAGGTCTGTAGACCTGGTTGGCCTCGAACTCACAGAGATCCTGCCTCCCAAGTGCTAGGACTAAAGGTGTGTGCCACCACCTCCCAGCTATGGCAGATCTTTCTAATGTTAGCAAATTTCATTACATGTGAAAATTACATGGCGGGTCTGGAAAGATGGCAGTGTGTTTGAGTGCTTTCTGTGCAAGTACAGGGATCCAAGTTTCTATGCCAATATCCATATTAAAAAGTGGGCGTGGGACCAGGCAGTGGTGGTGGCCATGGCGCACGCCTTTAATCCCAGCACTTGGGAGGCAGAGGCAGGCCAATCTCTGTGAGTTCGAGGTCAGCCTGGTCTAGTTCCAGGACAGGCTCCAAAACAAACAAAGAGACTGGGTGTGGCTGTGCAAATGCTGTAATGGTAAAAGTAAAATAGTAAAATGTGCTGTTCCCTGAGTGGCAGCAGTGGCCAGTGTTAGCAATTTTCCTAATGCGAGCTCTCTGCCGACGCAAAAACCCCAATTAAGCCAAGTCATAACAAGCCAAATATAAAATATCTAGGTTTAATGGGATTCCTGCGCTACCAATGGGAAGGGGGAAGACCACAAGAAATCTGGGAGGGGTGGGGAAGCAGTTTAAATAGACTTGGGGGCGTGGCCAAGATTTTGGCGGGCTGTCTTGACCCTCCTCTGGGGAGGGGTCAAGGCTTGGCGGGTTTAGGGACAGGGACTTCAAAGATGGAGGCTAGAGACCAGGACTTGGGACTTAGCCAGCAGGCAATGAGACCACAGCGGACCACAGAGGCAGCCAGTCCCAGGCAAGAAACCCCTGAGTGGCCTGTGGGCCATGAGGGCCAGCGGGTCGAAGGCAGGGAACCATGTGGTGGGTGAGACCTTGGCAGGGCAGCCAGTCCCACAAGGGGCCGCAGCCAAGGCAGGTGAGGGACAGACACATCATGCAGAGCAAGGTTGGATATTTCTTTAGTGAGTTATGGAAGGGAAGGCAGAGTTTGAAAGGGACAGGACAGATCATTACAGTTACCTGCAACGCCAAGCACTGTGTAGGGAAGGGACAGTGCACTGAAGCTTGACCGCACCAGCCTTCCGCTGGGTTCAGTGAGACTCTCAAAGGAATAATACAGAATGCAATACTTGAGACATCCTCCTTTCACCTCTGCATGCAAACACACACATAAATAAGTAAATATTAAATAAAACTTTCTGAGAATGAATCCAGAAGAAAATATATTTTACTCATATCATTAAAAAAATGAATCCCGGGGCTGGAGAGATGGCTCAGTTTAAGAGCACCGACTGCTCTTCCAGAGGTCCTGAGTTCAATTCCCAGCAACCACATGGTAGCTCACTGGCCATCTATAATGAGAACTGGTGCCCTCTTCAGGCATGCAAGCATACATGGAAGGAATGTTGTATACATAATAAATACGTAAATAAATAAATAAAATGAATCCCGGGAATAAACCTGATGAAGTCAGTAAGGTGCATCTATGTGCCACAGTCAATGAAATTCCTACCAAAATTCCAATGATACTTCACAGAATTAGAAAAAAGTCATAAAATCCATATGGACTGAAAGAAAACACCCATAGTAGCCAAAGTAATCAGAGGCAGAAAGAACAATACTGTCGACATCATAACCTGACTTCAGGTTATACTTCAGAAACATAGCAACAAAAACAACACATAGACCACTAGAATGGACCCTAGAATCCCCATGACCAACCTCCTAATGCTTGATGGAAGTGTCAAAAACAAACATCAAAGGGCCATCAGCATGGACCAGCAGGTAATCACGCTTGCTGTGCAAGCCCTGGAACTCACAGAAAGGGCGAAGGAGAGAGCTGATTCCTCAGGCTGGCCTTGGACCTCCACGTGAATGCTGTGGCACATATTCCCACAAGCACATCTCTCTCACACATACCCACAGTGATAAATAAAATTTAAAAGTGTAAAAGTGGATTCAACTCTAGATTTCACTCACATATATACCCCTTTGCTATAGGCAAATTAAGAGTAAACTAGATTCGGCCATCAGAGAGTCAAAAATAGTGGATGATTGTGATAGAACCTGAAGATAATTTCTACACTAACAGATGAGACAGGAGGCTCCCCAGTTTGAGGAGAGCCTGAGACATACAAGGAGAACCTGTCTGAAAGCAGTAGTATCTGTTCTCTTAGACTGGAGAGAGAAATCAGAAGCCAAGAGCACTTGTTCATATACAGGACCCAGGTTCAATTCCCAGCACCCACATCATAGCTCACAACCATTCATTCATAAAATTACAGTTCCAGGAAATCTGATGCTCTCTGTGGGCACCAAGCCATACAGGGTGCACATACATACATGAACACATACATATATGTAGGCAAAATTCCCATACACATAAAAATAAATTTAGAACATAATTGTTCCTTCAGAACTGGGAAAGAGAAAAAGTTCTGCTTTTTTGCACTTACTAATTATCTTTTTAAAAATTAAATAGTATCATATTTGTATTACTGTGTGTTTAAAAAAATTTTTTTTCATGTGTATGGGTATTTTACCTGCATGTTTATGCACCATATTTGTGTCTGGAGCCTGCAGAGGTCAGAAGAGAACACTAGATCCTTTGGAATTAGAGCTATAGGGCAGATGTAAACCACCATGTGGGTGCTGGAAAGCAAACCCAGGTCCTCTGCAAAAGCAACAAATGCTCTCTATTGTGGAGCTATCTCTAAGCCTCGTAAGGTATTAGTTTTGAAGCTTTTTTCCCCCTGTTTTTTTGAGATAGGGTTCCTCTGTATAACAGCCCTAGCTGTCCTGGAACTATCTCTTGCAGTCCAGGCTGGCCTCAAACTCACAGAGATCCACCTACCTCTGCCTCCCGAGTGCTGGGATTAAAGGTGCACCATCACCACCTGGCTAAAGGTTTATTTTTATGTGTGTGTCTCGTGAGTAAAGATACCAGTGGCCAGAACAGAGAGTTAGGTAGTTGTGAGGCACCTGATATGGGTGCTGGGAACCAAGGTCTGGTCTTCTGCAAGAGCAATATTCACTCTTAGTAGTCAAGTCTTCTTTCCAGCCCTAGAGATTATTTCTAAAGGAGAAAAGACTTGGGATGTGGAGGTGGAAGGATAGGGAGCTCAAGGACATCTAGGGTTACGTAAAACCCTGTAGTAGGAGGCCGCTAGTTAGTTCCCAGCCACTTTGCCCTGAAACAATCAGACAGAAACTATATTGTTTAAATCACTGCTTGGCCCATTAGCTCTAGCTTCTTATTGGCTAACTCTTACATATTAATATAAACCATTTCTATTCATCTGTGTATTGCCACATGGCTATGACTTACTGGGGAAAGTTCTGGCGTCTGTCCATCTCTATTGGCTATATGGCTTCTCTCTGACTCTGCTTTCTCTCTCCCAGCATTTAGTTTAGTTTTCTCCACCTAGCTCTGTTCCCCTATCGCTCTGCTATAGGCCCAAAGCAGTTCCTCTATTCATCAATGGTAATCACAGCATACAGAGGGAAATCCCACATCAAAACCCTGCCTCAAAAAACCTGACAAAAGATGGACACTAAATAGTATGGAAAGAAAGGCAAATAGATAGTCATCAGTCCTAGCTGTGCTTACAGATTGGAAGTTCTTTGTCAAGTCACTTAAGCTTTTTAGAATGCTAAATTTAAGCTTTTGGGGATGATAAATTTCTATTTCAATGAAGCTGCCCTCCAGAAAGCTACCTAAACTGGGCATAGGAGCATGTGCCTTGTACTTTCAAGTAGAAAAAGGGAGACTTCAAGTTTAAGGCTAGCTTTAGAAAATAGTAAGACTAGACTGTGGTTGTTCTTGTTTTGGTTTGGTTTGATTTGTTTGAGACAGGGTTTCTCTATGGCTTTGGAGCCTGTCCTGGAACTAGCTCTTGTAGACCAGGCTGGCCTCAAACTCACAGAGATCTGCCTGCCTCTGCCTCCCGAGTGCTGGGATCAAAGGCATGTGCCACCACTGCCCAGCAACTGTGATTGCTTTTTGTTTTGTTTTTGTTTCTTTGAGACAAAAGAAGTTTCTGTGTAGGTCTGGCTGTCCTGGAACTCACTCTGTAGACCAGGTTGACCTTGAACTCACAGAGATCCACCTGCCTCTGCCTCCCAAGTGCTGGGATTAAAGGTGTGCACTACCACCCCACAGCAAGCACAACACTTCTTATGTTCGTGATATACAATTTATTTTTAAAGTGGTATTTTTGAAAGGTGTTTTACTTTTTTTAAGATTCATTGATTTTTATTTTATGTGTACGGGTATTTTGTGCATATGTGTATATGCCTACATATGTGCCTGCTGCCCATGGAGATCAGAAGAGGGTGTCAGATTCCCTGGAACTGAAATCAGTTATTTGTGAACCATTGTATGGTTGCCATTAATCCCATCAGTTGAGAATAAGACCATACCACAGTTCAAAGCCGAATTTGAGACAAACTTTAATTAAATACTGGCCAGGTTGATGAACTCTCTCTGCCAGGTCCGGAGACCTGAGTTTCCAGAAAATGGCTAAGAGTCACAGCTTCCAAAGGCTTAAAAAGGCCACCATATTTCCCATCAGGTCCAATCAGAAAGAAGCAAACATATATCCTGATGTATTTCCTGCTTTCCTATGTCTCACCTACCTCCAAGTGTCCATTCTGACTCATTTTTTGCTGATGTGCCTCCTGCGCACGGGTGATGAAGCACATCCGGTATAGATGGGTCAGCCAAACATATGACAAACAGGAACTTAATCTTAACTGCAAGCACAACTCTTACCCTGGAAGGTGTATTTTTTTCTGTGTCGGTCTCACGTTGCTGGGTCCTCTGTGAGATCAGCAACTGCTTCTAGGGTCGGGCGGTGGTGGCACACACCACTCAGTACTGCAGAGGCAGAGGCAGAGGGGCAGAGGGGCAGAGGGGCAGAGAGAGAGGCAGAGGCAGAGGCAGAGGCAGAGGCAGAGGCAGGAGGATCTCTGTGAGTTCGAGGCCAGCCTGGTCTACAAGAGCTAGTTCCAGGACAGGCTCCAAAGCTACAGAGAACCATGTCTCGAAAAACCAAAAACCAAAACAAAACAAACAAAAAGAAACAAGTGCTCCTAACTGTTAAACCAACTCTTTAACCTTTGTCTTGTTTTGTGAGTCAGAGTATCCTATAGCCCAGATAGGACAGGCACTCCCTGGATAGCCTAGTGGCCTGTTGCAGAGGTGCTTCTGGCATCACTGCCCCCCCCCAAAACACACAAGATTATTAAGCAAGAAGAATACAAAGCCTAACAGATATCTATCAGCATTGACCTTACTAGAAGGTTAGAGAAAACAGGAAACTCCCTGGAACCTATTAACATAGACAAGGCAAAAGGCCTACAGACCTGCAGCTTGAGGCTAGGATTCAGCACTTCTTCCTTAAAAACCCATCTGCCTTTAAGGTGACTATTTTGTGGGATTTTAATGAAATCCTTGGGTTCCATTTCATTTTCTCCTTGGATTTGTAGGTCTTCAACACACACTCTGTCTTACACAGTCGTTGAAGAGTCCATGAACTTTGGGCTTTTGTTGAACTTACCCTGGTAATAGCAGAGGTCCTTAATGTTCTCCTGGGAGCAAATGTCTTGAAGCAGTGGGGGCCGTGGTGAAGGGAGCCTGTTCAAACATCTGAGCCTTTGTTAGCAAACCCCAAACAAGAAAAACAGGACTTCTCTTCCAAAGGCTTATTTGAACAATCCATCCAGTCATCGAGGTTGTATAGAAGTGATTTTATGTTTCATAACTTCTCAAGGCCCGAAGGACCATTCTCAAGAGACAACCTTATGTTCTCTAGATTCTAATTTTCCATTACATTAAGGGGGTTGGGGGAAGTAATCTCGAGTAATTTACATGCCTGCCTAATATTTTACATTTTTCTCATGTAATTCTCACAATAACCATGCAATGGGTCTTAGTGGAGGCAGAGGGGTCAGCTAACAGGCTGTGGCATCATTATAGGAGGGTGGTAGCATCATATAGGAGGCTAGGGCACTGGAGGTCGCAGCAAAGGGATCCAATAACCCCAAATCCAGTAAGATTTAGTGAGAGCCTCGAACACTGCTGGCACCTTCTTATCGATGCATGAACTAACTATGGAAGGGAAGGGGAAGGGATGTGCAAGTGTGGATTCCAATTTTGAAGGAGTAGAAGGTGGCTGCCATTCACTAAGGCTTTTAGCTGAGTGTGGTAACACAGGCCTGTAATCCCAGCACTGGGGAACCCCCAAGTATATAAAGAATTCAGCGCCAGTCTGGGCTACTTAAGACTGTTTCAAAGAAGGGAAGTTGGCTGCTGGATGCTTCTCCTCACACACTCCTAGGAGAGCTCTCTTTCCATTTGCCTTGATTGCAGAGTTTTGAACCAAATAACTTGTTCCTCTAGGCTAGGACAACTAATCCCTACTCAAAGACAAATAATTCATAGACTGGCTAGTGACTTATTACTTTAACTAGAACTATTGGGCTGAAGTAATAATCCAACGGTTAAGTGTTTACCTAGCACAGCCTACCTGGTTTTCACCCGAGCACTGTTTAGGACGTAGATCTCCCTGTTTGCTCTTGTCGGCCTCAAAGTTCTGGGTTTAAGTGATCTTCCCACGCCTCTTGAATAGCTGAGATTACAAGTGCACCTTACCTTGCCTGGCTCCTCTGTGATTTTGAGCTAGCAAATGGAGAAAGCACCTGTAAACTATATACCAGTTAGAAAGGAAAAAATCAAGGAACAAAATGGAAGGTAGCAGTGGCAAATTGGGTCAGCTAGGTGGTACCACTAACAGATATCACTAATACGAATACTTAAAATTTATAATTTGAAGTCGTTTTTTCTATTTATTTTTTGAAGTTGTTTAAAAGACCATTTATAGAGGTCTAGACAATCTTTGAAAAAAATCAACAGGGGCTAGCAGAGCACCCTGAGGGCCAGTGGCTGTTATCTCTATGCTAAAAAGCACTACAGAGGACCTTGGAGAGATAAAGCTCTGGGGACAGCCTTCAGTGACCCACCTCTAGGACTGGGGGGCCATGAACTGCACACTGCTACTGCCTAGGGAGGTTAGAGTTCTGTGGAAGGCAGGAGAAGGGGAACTGGGGATTGCCAAGGGTGGTGGCACCAGATTGCAACTCCAGGCAGCACTTGGAAGACTGAACAAATAGATCGGACATTTGAAGTCAGCCTAGGCCAGCAAGTTCCAGGCCAGGCTGAGTTATCTAATGAGACTCAGTTGCAACAAAACAAAATAAAGAAAAAAGTATGAACCAAACCAATCAAACACAGAACAACCCATTATTCAGACCCTTCTCAGGTAACTATGACTCTGCTTCTTAATAAAACCTTGCTTACTTGCTCTTCAAAAACAAAACATGAGCCGGGCAGTGGTGGCACACACCTTTAATACCAACACTTGGGAGGCAGAGGCAAGCAGATCTCTGAGAGTTCGAGGCCAGCCTGGTCTACAAAGCTAGTCCCAGGACAGCTAGGGCTGTTACACAGAAAAATTCTGTCTCAAAAAATCATTAAAAAAAAAAAGATACAAATAAGAAAAAAGGCTAGAAAGCTGGGAAGTGATGGCGCATGCCTTTAACCCCAGCACTCGGTAAGCAGAGGCAGGTGGATCTCTGTGAGTTCAAGGCCAGCCTGGCCTACGGAGCAAGTTCCAGGACAGCCAAAGCTACACAGAGGAAACCCTGTCTCAAAAATAAACAAACAAATAGACAGCTGGTGTCACAAGCAATAGCAATGTATTACAATAAGTCTTTTAAATCCTGTCTCTGCATTCTAGAGTCCCCACGACCACAACTGCCCTCCAGTTCTCTCCCTGCAAAGCACGCACTGTTTCCTTGAGATATTGTTTCTTGATCATCTTTTATCTTGACCTGAAAAGTCTGTGACTCCTACAGATAACACAGAGCTAGGGCAAGAACTTAGTCAGTAAAGTACTTGTGAGGATTTGAGTCTGATGCCCAGAACCCATGGGCAGGGGAAGACAAGCATGGTGGCGGCACTGGGGAAGTACAGACTCACTGGACAGATTGCCTAGCCTACATGAGATTAAGTCAGTGAGAGAACTTACCTTTATACCTATAAATAAACAAACAAATAAATAGGTAGTTGTTGCTGTGTATGTGCGCGTGTGCGAGCACACACACACACACACACACACACACACAATGCATAGATGACAAATATCCACAGCAGCACAAGTAAATGGAACTTTGGAGAGACACCATCACATTTCCATTTCCTCCATTGACTTAGTGTGTATTTAAATAAGCTGATGGCAAAAATGAATAGACTGCATTCGGAATCATATTGGCTGGCATTTGTTGGTACAATTCTGTACAAGAGTTAAGTATTTTCTCTTTCTTTGTTTTTTTTTTGTTTGTTTGTTTTGTTTTGTTTTGTGACAGGGTTTCTCTGTAGCCTTGGGGCCTGTCCTGGAACTAGCTCTTGTAGACCAGGCTGGCTTTGAATTTACAGAGACACGCCTGCCTCTACCTCCCAAGTGCTGGGATTAATGGTGTGCACCACCGCCACCACCGCCCGGTCGCATTTCCTAATTTAAAAAAAAAAAAATTGGCTGGGCGGTGCTGGTGCATGCCTTTAATCCTAGCACTCAGGAGGCAAAGACAAGCGTATCTCTGTGAGTTCGAGAACAGCCTGGACTACAGAGCGAGTTCCAGGGCAGGCACCAAAGAATCAGAGAAACCCTGTCTCGAAAAAACAAAAACAAACAAACAAAAATTTATTATAACAAGAACAGCTAGCTAGTTGGATGTTAAAATTCAAAGTATCACCAGGAATAGAGCTCTTGCAGTTGGTATTGGGCAATAGAAATGGAGTACAGTCCACACTGAATAGCAGCCAGTTTCAGGAGGTTGCTTAGGGTCAGGTAAACTGGAGATTTCTGTGGAGAAAAAAAGAAAAGCCTTACTGTTTACGGCTGATGTAATGTGTGAAATGGCGAGTATTTAATGTGGTTGGCGGCAGAAAAACCTTTCACCAGTAGGAACGTGCTCTTAATGATGACCTTGCACCAAAATATAATTTTATTAAATCAAAAAGTACAGTATGTACAGCCAATATCACTTTAAATCAAACTTCAATGCTAAGCGGAAAGGGCTTATAGGTTTACCAAAATCTGTACTATTCTCGGGCCGTGGTGGCGCAGGCCTTTAATCCCAGCATTCAGGAGGCAGAGGCAGACAGAGCTCTGTGAGTCTGAGGCCTGCCTGATCTACAAGTTAGTTCCAGGATAATTAGGGCTGTTACATAGAGAAATCTTGTCTTGAAAAATAAAAAAAAGAAAACAAAGAAAATCTGTACTATTTTAATATCCATAGTAGGGAAGAAAAATTGGGAATATAGTTAAGTCGTGATCAAGTACTATTTCCATAAATGAAGGACTGGATAATAAACCGGAAGTGATGGCTCACCTCCCCACCTCCCCTAATCTCAGTACTTGGGAGGTAGAGTCACGGTCAGTTGTTCAAGGCTAGGGGACGGAGAGGCGTCTTGAAGATTAAGAACACTTGCTGCTTGGCTTCCCAGTACCGTGTTGGGCAGTTCACAGCAGCCTGTATCTCTAGCTTAAGGAAGATCCAACACCTCTGGTGACTCAGGGCACCCGCACACTTGTGCACACACGTGTGCGCGCACACACGCATATAATTAAAAATAGAATAATTCATGTTGCCTCACAAATGTCCAAGCATTTGTGAGGCAGAGGCAGGTGGTTCTAAAAAAAGAATAAATCTTCGAAATGGAGAGAGTATGAGTGTCCAAAGCCTGCCGGGTGCGGTCCTTATGTCTTTAATACCAGCTCTAGGAACGCAGAGCCAGGAAAACCTAAAAGAAGAAAGTATTAAAAAAATATTTCAAGGTTAGCTGATGTGTGGTACTCAGGCCTGGAGTCATCCCAGCATTTAAAGGGCTGAGGTAGGCGCATTCCGTTGAGTTCAGAACCAGAATGGTCTAGCTGATGGCTTCCAGGACAGCCTGGACTTGAGTGGGGGGCAATGTCTCAAAAACAAAACAAACAACAACAAACAAACAAACAAACAAAAAACCAAGCGAAAGAGAAAGTTCCAGGCCAGCTTTGAGTTCAAAATCAACTTGGCTACGGGAGACCCAGTCTGAAAACATCAAAATCCACGAAAAAAGTAAAAAATGGAAAAAGGGGCAAAATGTTAAGTATTCATTTTACGCATGACCACTCAGGCATTTCGGTGTCTGCGCGGTGGAATCAGGACGGACAAGTGCACTCCTTGGAATTTCTGGGCTGGGTCCTCACCGGAACTCAGATGAGAAGGCTCACTAGAATTTCCCCGGGTCCCGAGGCGCTGCTCCCGTGCAAGGCCTGCAGCGCTTCACCTTAGCGGAAATGGACCGCCTGGTCCTCCCGGTCCCCGGGGAAGGTCCTCGTCCCCGGGTCACAGAGGCAGAAACCTGAAGGCGCCCGCCCAGAAGAGTAGCAGGTTCACCATCGGCCTCCGCTGGGGCGGAGCCCACGTCAAACCACGCCCCCCTCACTCGGGAAAGACCCGTCAGGCCGCGGCCGCACACAGCTAGGCGACTCGGGGAGCCGGTGTGTAGCCACGTCACTCTCCAGGGTGCCCCGCCCCTCCACACGCCCTCCACCGGCCCCGCCCCTCACCGTGCCTCGCCCTCCGGGTCTCGCCGGGGATCCTTTGGCACCTCCGCCTACCGAACGCCGCTCCTCCTGGCGGCCCCGCCCTCTGCACGCTCCGCCCTCAGTGGCCTCGCCCTCCTCACGCCACGCCCACTGACCCGCTCGGCCACAAATTGCCACGCCCACTGGCCCGCCTCGCCCTCCGCGCCCCGCCCCCAGCTGCCTCGCCCTCCGCACGCCCCGCCCCCTGGGGC